AAATATTGGGCAAACATTGAAATGTCCCGACTCAATGGGTGAAAATTTCCGCTCTGAATTTAACAATTCCTGATTGCGATGCGTTGAGTCGTCCTGTACAGAACTTTTATTGTTGTCCTGAAATGGTGTGACGTGGTTGGAGGAAATCAGAATTCGAATAAAAGATTGGAGGGCAACTTTTCGCCTTATTTAAATACGAAAAAAATACTAAGAATTCAATAAGGGTTATTTTTTACTTCTAAATATTTAGTACGTTGGTAATAAAATAAAAATAAATTTACGGAAAATATAAATTAAAACAAAATATATATATATATTTTTATTTGAAAAAATGCATCTTTTCAATGTTACAAAAAATTATTGTAGTTTTACAGTTTGTAATAGTTCAATTGTTTTATTCTTATTCAGAAGTAAACATATCAATGAATTTCTGCCCCCTACTTGAACCGCTGGTGATTATTAGGTTTAAGGTTCAATCCACTGGCGGCTTTTTCATAGACACTATTTTAACAAGTTATATAAAAAACAATTTTTTAAAGTCAATTTCTACTTTTTTTCACTGTATTGCAGAAAGTCCTTTATAAATAATTTTCATTCATTTTTTTTAAGTTTATCTGGCATCATCTATTGGTAGATATACGCAACCTAAATCTAAAAAAAAACTAAAATTAATTAATTAAATTTAATGAATGAATTAATATTTGAAAAAACTGTATTATCATCAAGTGTCATCCAAGTGTCACAAGTTTAAAAAAAATTTTGAAAAATTTTGAAAAATTAAAAAAAAATTTGAACTTGAGTGGAGGAATAAAAAGTATTTTATTAACGATTGAAAATTTGAACAAGATATATATAGGGAGAGTGTGAGCTAACGGAAGGAATTGAAAAAATGAGAAGACTGCGATGGGCTTTGTGATGTTCAGCATCTTGCCTCGTGAGTCAGATTACATGGTGGAAGTTTGGAAGGTGGAAGTCCCGTACGATATGCAAACGCGTTGTAGTTCCCCATAAAAGTCCTCCCGTAAGGAGTTGCTCTCCTTATTGGTGTAGAAGTATTAGTACTGTAGTAGAAGTCTGAGGTAGCTCCGAATAGGTGCCAAGTCAGACTTCTACCTACAGGTGCTCCATCACAACAGAAGCTACTGCCTTTCCCTTCATCCTTCATCCCTTCATCCCCTTTTTCTATGAATAGACTGTCCGTCCTGCCCTGTTAGACACTGAGGATTAGTGACAACATTACATTAATTTCTGCTATGCCAACTAGAAATTTATTTCTCTTTTTCATGTATTTATCAGTTAAATGCAGTTTGCAAACAATTTCTAACAAAATAAAAAAAAAAGTTAAAATAACAATTGCTAAACTAACAAATAGCAATTACTAACATCAAAATAAATTTTAAAATAATAACAACAATTGAATAACAAATAACAAATGAATAACACATAACAAATGAATAACAAATAACAAATGAATAACAAATAACAAATGAATAACACATAACAAATGAATAACAAATAACAAATAAATAAAAAATGCCAATAATAACATTAATAATAACAATTGCTACTTAAATAACAATTGCCACTCTTAAAAAAGACATAACAAATAACAATTGCTACTCTTACTTATTTTCTACCATGACCTTTCTTTTATGGATACCACAGAGGTCATACGAGAACGGCATCCTATTCACACGTGATAAATAATTATTTATTTTTTTTTTTTTCTACAAATTCAACGGAAATTTCACTCATAAAATTTACAAAATTAAAAAAATATATATGCATCTGTTGATGAAGTAGTTTCAGTTCAATGTTTAGTCTTTATAAGAAATTAAGTTTCAAAACTTCTGAAAATGAAACTTACATCAAATCAAAATAAAAACTTTAAAAGAATTCAAATGAATATTGAAAAAAAAGTTATATAAAACAAATGCCATTACTGTGTTTTTTTAATTTTTTCTATTAGCTTACGCTCTCACTATATATATCTTGTTCAAATTTTCAATCGTTCATAAAATACTTTTTATTCATCCACTCAAGTTCAAACACCTTTTTTTCAACTTGTAGTGGATGACACTTGATGTTAATACAGTTTTTTTCAAATTCAGTAATTAAATTTAATTAATTAATTTTAGGTTTTTTTTTGGATTTAAGTTTCATATACCTATCAATAGATGGCGCCAGATAAACTGAAAAAAAATTATTTATAAAGGACTTTTCTGCAATATAGTGAAAAAAAGTAGGAATTGACTTTAAATTTTTTTTTTTATATTACTTGTTTTATTTTAAATTGAACACACGGGAGTCATATGAGAATGGAAGGGATAAAGATAAATTGAAGAATAAGATAAGATAGATGGTGCACCAAGAAACACACTTTCACCGACCTCCGGTGGGAATACTCACGAACACCGAACCCACGCTATGGCTTTTAAGAAATTCGAACTCGCACCTGATGCGATATTTGGATTGTTGTTATCCGTAACTTGACGATCCACGAAAATAACACATCAAAGCAATGTTTCCTCGCATTTTCTTTCTTTTAAATTATCTTTAAAATAAACTCACTTATTTTTTGGTGGAGCATTTTAAAAAAGGTTTTTGATGCATTACGATCTTATCTTTTCTATAATATCAGTTACGTGTTTGGATTGTTATTTTGAACGTAGGGGGAAATTTGACACGTATGTTGCTGATAAAAGATCCCGGTCTTTTCTCGGGTGTTATGTCTATGGCTTTTGTTGAAAATGAAGTTTCGTGCATCATAAAACCTGCTAAAGTTTTTTACAAACATGCAAAATAGATGAGACGTGTTTTTGAATACAAAATGAGGAAGGCCTCTTTTTTAAGTCTTCTCTTTCAGCCTAGTATATTAAATATTTTGGACATAAATGTCATAACTTTTCGACGCAATGTTACATAAAAATATCTTACGCTTGATGCTTCCAACTCTTTTAATGTCGACTATATTAAAAGAAAAAATTATTTTTTTATATAAAAATGTTTTCAAACAAGTTTTAAATCATTGAAATAAAAGATAAAAACAGTTTACTTTTAAAATAACACAAAAACTTGCTTAGTTATTTTTCGAGAATTTTTAAAAAAAAGTTTTTGTTGCAGAAACTTTTAAAGCAAAATTTTTCAGTAAACAAATTTTTAATTAACTATTTAGCTATAAGTACTTTTGACTAATTTTCTTTAATTTTTAGAACTAATTTTGAATTTTAAATTTTTATTTGTTTATTGATTTTAAGATGATTTGGCTTTCTTTAACACATTCTTCAGATCATCAGAAATTGTATTCACACTTATCTAATACATAAAACTATACATGAGTGTTCTGAAAAACAAATAAAATTTTTTCGTTCGCTAACTAATTTTAAAATCTCATAAATTAATTAAACTTTTTTCCAAAAATTACTAATAGTGAAAAGGTAGAAAATTCCCTCTGAAGGCATAGTAAGTTTTGAGTGTACTAAGTGTATCAAAATTGTTTTTAAAAAAGTAACATATCAAAATTAATTTTAAAAGTTAAAAATTTGTTTAATTATTTGGTAAAATAAATTGAGTTTTGTCTTGTAAAACATTTTCAAGTATATTGAAAAATATTAATTCCTAGTCAGAATTATAAACAGTAAAATTTTATTTAAGTAAATAATCTACTAAATGTCAATATAAATTAAAAATTAAGCTCGTATTTTTATCTTAGAATTATAAATTGCACAATTATTATGATTTTAAAAGAATCTCTTAAAATGATCGTCGAAAGAATTATTAGTGTTTATTCATTTTTATTTCTTTCACAGAACAATGAAAAACAAATTAAACAAAATGATCAAATTAAATGCAATGTACTGAGTAGGTATTGTACCTTCTATGTCATGACATTGAAGCAAATGTTATATCGAAAGAATAACAGATAGTTTTAATAATTCAAAACTATTTTATAAAGTTTACATTAATTGCAATTCTTTAACATAAAATGAAAAATTAAATTTTGAATATATTATATGAATTGTCATGAAATTTTTTAAAAAAATTTGTCTTAATTCTAAATGCTTACTTAGACTTTCTGTTTATTTATTTATATATGTGAAATTCAACATTTTTACTTAGATGTTAAACATTTAATTTGAAAAGGAAATTTTATTACTTTTTATGTAAACTGATATTTAAAAAGATTTTTTATGCCTTTACATTGATTTTTGAACATCTGAAAATGAAATTCAATGATCGATATTTTTTTTCTTCAAAATTTTAGTGGTTACTAATGTGGTTAGTTTTAGCGGTTTCTAATGTGGCTATGTTAACAAAAAAAACGTTAACAATTTTTCCAAAATTTCTTTCTGCGAATTTAACGGTTTCTAATGTGGCTAAGTAGTAGTATTGGCACTATCAGGGACGGATGTACGTCATCAGAAAAGCGCGCGCAACCGGAAGTGACCAGAAGTCGTCTTACAAGAGGATGGTATTTTTGGTAGATAAGGGGTCCCCCCCTAGAAACTTTTTCCCCGGTGGCAACGTCTGAATGTTGTACTGTAAGAGAGGGGTTTTGGGAGAGATAAGAATTTACGTGATAAGATGAGCGGAATATGGAACTGTTTTAATTGGATTTCTTCTTAATTTTTTAATTAGATTATTTTATAAAATGTGTTTTGGGAAGGATTTTATTTGTATTAAATTTATTTATTTATTTATTTTTTTACTATTTTTTTTTTTTTTTTTTTATTTCAATTTGATTAAAAATTTTTTTTTTATTATTTTGCAAACCTATTTTTGAAGTTTCGTGCATCCTAAAACCTACTAAAGTTTTTTTATGGACATTCAAAATGCATGAGGCATGCTTGTGAATACAAAATGAGGAAGGGCTTTCAGCCTTGTATATTAAATATTTTGGACATAAATGTCATAACTTATCGGAGCAATGTTATGTTAAAAAAATTAACTTTCTCCTGATGCTTCCAACTCTATTAATGTTGACTATATTAAAAGATGCCAACGGCCGTACCATGCTGAATATACCGGTTCTCGTTAGATCACCGAAGTTAAGCATCATTGGGCGCGGTCAGTACTTGGGTGGGTGACCGCCTGGGAACACTGCGTGCCGTTGGCAAATTTGGGACCTGAATGGCCGAGTGTCTAGCGCTCTGGCGCTCGGTGCCACAGGTTTCGGGTTCGAATCCTGGCGGTGCCATGGATGTTTGTAGTGGTTCGGAATCCACTTTAAGCCGTAGGTCCCGGTCTCCTATGACTGTAAGAGCGTCACGGAGCAAAAGTCAGGCTTCTACCTACGGGTGCTCCATCACAACAGAAGCTGCTTCCTTCCCCTTCAATCATGAGTCCATATGGGCTTGTGGGCTTGGCCAGCCAAGTGGGATAAGAAACAACAAACAAACAACAACATATTAAAAGAAAAAATTATTTTTTTATATATAAAAAATAATTAAATAATTAAATAATTATTAATTAAATAAAATAATTAAAATAAAAGATTAAAATAATATGCGCTTAAAATAACACAGAAACTTGCTCATTTATTTTCAGGAACTAGAGTATAAAATTATTAGACTATTATTAAATAGACTATTAAATTATCGAATAATAAATAAATAAAATATTTTTATATTTCAAAGAATTAGGCAACCAAGGTTAATATTATCTTTTAACAAAATTCCAGTGTTCTAGAACTTTTTATTTTATTAGAAAGTATTTAAGTTATTTTTATCTATTCGAATATTTTGTTCCATCAAGATTTACATTACACCTTTTAACTTGAATGCGTTTCCGAAGTTTTAAACGTAAAGTAAAAGCTTCCCAGAAAATTCGCTCGCTGAAAATATTCTTTTTCTCGGAAACAATGTTTAATGCAGTTTTCCCAAAAATATTTTAAAAGATAAATATTTTCTCCGCAGCCTAACATGATTCGGTTAACCAGAAAAACAATTGCTTTATTGAATGATGAAGGATTTAAAGAACTTTCGCAATTTGACTGTAATAATATTCTGCACTGTTTTTACGAACTAAACGCATTAAATTTAATAAAATAATGTTTGTTTTCACGTCAAGACGACTTAATCATTAAACTTTCTGGGTTTTAAAAATATTTTGAAAAAAACCTTTAATTCTTGTTATAAATATAAATAAATATACAATAAAGTTGGGGGAATAAACAATAAAAAAATTAAGTTAAAAAATACACTAGTTTTCAAAAACTAATAAATGATTGTATACAAATGAATTTGAAAATGAAAATAAAAACTCATTTTTCATTAAAAATAAAAGATTTCGAGATTTTTTCTTTTTTAAATAATAGCAATTTTTGATGAGTATTTTTAATTGAAACATACAAAACAATATTTAAGGAATCCCTTTTTAAAGATAATTTTTCATTTTTTTAATTATTCATTTTCATTTAAAAATTTTTTAATGATAATTTGATTGTTCCTTGTTTATTTAAAATTTATTTTTAAATGAGAATAAGAGATAAAATGTGTTTCTAACGTAGCAATGTGACTAAAATTTTGAAAATTCTACTTATAAGGGCGCATATTTTAATAAAAATTCAATGTCAGATAAATTGTCTTCTGTCTTAAATTAATTACCTTATTTTTAATGAATATTTTTAATTAAAGCAAAGAAATTAATATTTAAGTAGTCCTATGTTAATGATAATTTTTCAAATTTTTATTCTTTCCTTTTTTCCCTGTTTTAATAGTAATTTCATTGCTCTTTTTTGAATTTAATTTTATTTTTAAATGAGGATAAAAGTTGTTTCACACGTAGCAGTGGGACTAAAACTTTGAACATTTTATTAATAACTGCATTTATTTCAATAAAAATTCAGTGTCAGATAAATTGTTTTTTAAAATTAATTACTTAAATTTAATTAGTAAAATTTTTTAATGAGTATTTCTAATTAAAGCAAACAAAAGCATATTTAAGCAGTTCTTTTTAATGATAATTTTAATTTTTTCCCCTTTTTTAACGATAATTTCATTGTTCCTTGTTAATTTTATTTAATTTTTAAATGATGATAAGATATAAAATTTATTTCAAACGTAGCAGTGTGATTATTTATTTATAAGTGAATATATTTCATAAAAATTTCAATGTCAGATGAATTGTTTTCTTCCTTAATTAATTACTTAATTTTTGATTAGTAAAAAAAATTTTTATGGGTATTTTTAATTAAAGCAAACAAAAAAATTTTTTTTCTTTTAAGTGATTTTATTATAATTTAATTATCAAAAGAGGCTGCAATATCAGAAACGAATAATAAAATAAAATTCCCTTTAATATTTTATCAAGAAAAACTATACAGTCTATTATAAAAGGTTTTAAAATATTTAATTCGAAATAAAAATTAACCAATTATAAAAAACAATTAACGATAGCAAATTTTCAATAAAATTTTAAAGATTTGAACCTATGGCATTTAGCGCTGTATATAATTATGTTAAAAAATCTATATGGGTTACTTTAATTAGTCAAATATTTATCTAGTCGAGACTTAAGAATAGAGTTTATAACTATATGTGTTTAAATCTAATTACGCTTTGTAGAAAAATCTATGCACAATTTATATTAAGCTTAAGCAAAAAGGAATTAGTAAAATGTTTTCCTTTGTTGTAAGTATCATGATGTTAGATTAAAAATTAATTTAATATCATTTTACTTACAAGAAAAGAAAATTCTCATTTTAATATCACGTGACAATGCCATGTCAAAAAACAATTCCGTAAAAAATTCTAGTTATCTTCACCTGATATTAAAAAAGCCTTGTTGTTAAACATAAAAAAATCATTATGTAACAATTTTTTAAAAACAGAAAATTATATAGCTTATTTATAAAATAAGATAAAATAAATAAATTCTGATATAATTAATTTAATTTTAATTTAGAATAAATTTTTATTTTTATATTATATTTTATATGTTTATTTTCATTTTTAAATAATTGTACGAGATAATGGCTAATTTTTAACTTTTTTTTTCTGGGATTAAAAATGATCTATCAACTAACACTTTTCACTTTTCTTCGTAGTCAATATCGTGAATTTAGATTTAAAATTAATTTAATATCTCTATATTTACAGCAAAATTAAATATTGTGCCATGTGTTAAGGCAGTGTCGAAAACATTATTTAAAATATTCTAGTTATCTTTGCATATATTAAGCAAGCTTTGTTGTTAGACATAAAAATATATATCATAGGCTAAGAGTTTCTTCAAACCAAAATTACATATATACCTTATATATCAAATAAAAACATGTAATATTTTTATATGCTTTTTTCATTTTTATAAAATTGTAGAGATAATGGCCTATTTTTAACTTTTTTTTCTGGTATTAAAAATGATCTATCAACCAAAACGTTTCAAAACAAAAATTTCCTATCCATGATAACATTACATAAAAATACATTAATTCTTATACGATAAGAATACATTCGTATTCAGTTTCAGAATAAAATGTACAAATTTAATATATTTTCTTGTGTAGAATCACCAAACAATCTCATCTAAAAGCAGTCTATTATTATAAAATTAAATATTAAATTTAAACCTATACTAAACTACTACTTTTGTTTGGGAGAAAAGGATGTACAAAAAATATCAAAATCCTGTGAATAAAGGGCAAATATACATGCTAACAATTCTACTAAATAATAAATTCCACAGAAGGAAATAACGATATCCCCTGTAAGAAAATAAAAAAAAAAACCCATTTGAATCCTAAAGCAAATAATAGCAAAATAGGAATGAAAATATATTCACTTCTTCTAGTTTTAAAGTCTCATGAACAAAAAAAATTTAAAGACATGCTCGCGAAAATTCCTGTTTAAGACTTCTTTGCCCAAAATGTCTAGAAAGAAATGAATAAATAAAAAATTCTAGACAAAGCGAAAAAAAGAAAATAAAGGGAGTGTGAAAAAAATATTTTTTTTTCGTGCTTGAAATAGTAATTCTCTTTCGGAACTAAGGTCTGGAAAAGAAAATAGGAAATAAAAAAAAAAGGAAAGCAAATCTGCTTAGAAGTTTGCCGTTTGCGTCAGTTCTTCAACTAATCTCTTGTGGCAAGAAATGCAGCGGCGATCCTGTCTTAAGCTCAGGTGGATTTTTTTTATTACTTTTGCTTCAGGAGTGATTAAGAAGACGTCGTATTTCTGTCTCGCGTTCTCACTTTTATCGGAATTTGTGCGTCCTCCTATTCAATAAATGAGACAGGAAGAGTTATAAAACGTGTAATTAAGGAATGAGAACGTGTGGGGTTTAATGCTGGACAGGAATGATGAATTATGCTGTGAAGAACGAAGGAAACAGAAAGAATGATGAAAAAGAGCGATTACTGAACAAATATTAGCGGCAAATTGCAAAATGTTTAAACTAAAATGTCACAAGAATGAAATGAAATCTCATAAAACTAAATGTCACGAAGGCTTAAAGAATTTTTCTTTTTCATTAGCATATCTGATACATCAGTATAATGTCATAATGATATCTGCTAAATAATCATATGTAACAATATCAAAGATAATTAACAATAGCAATATCAAAGAGCAATCCCCGACAAAATATGAGTAAATTGTAAACTAAATGTCCCGAAAGTTTAAGCTTTTTGTTTTCATTGACATATCTGATATACACATTACAAAACTAAATTATTTCATTTAAGTATGTATAAATAACTTTCATTTTCTTCAATTATATTTAAACAGAAATATTTTAAATCCACAAATAATTTGCACAATCACAACGAGTTATTCGCAAAGTTCTGAGAGATCAACTTGACAGTTAAACAACAACATTTCAAGATAACATATAGCATCAACTTTCAGCTTCGTTCAGGTTTACTTCGTTCAGTTTCGTCAGTTTTCAAATCCTATCACTGATGCCATTCCCGGACGGTTTTATGTAAAACACGCTTCCGTGAACATAACCTAAAATTACTTCCGATATCACCCAAAGGCGATTCAAATAACAGAAGTTCGCTGAAATCCCAAATACCTATCAAATATAATTCCGGACCACAACTTTCTGATTTCGAGATGTATTTCAAAAGCAGTGTTTGCAGAATTCATAAATATTTATAACGAAATGGGCTGGAG